ACCCACTAACCAACATATCTAGTCATTTACTAACATACTAATATGTTTACCGTGATGATCTAATACCTACCCACTAACCAACATATCTAGTCATTTACTAACATACTAACATGTTTACCGTGATGATCTAACACCTACCCACTAACCAACATATCCAGTCATTTACTAACATACTAATATGTTTACGTCATGACCTCATACCTACCCACTAACCCAGACATATAACTACATGCTAATCTACCAAATTCATCTCATAATTATTTTGGCATTGATTTCACCCATCAGTTTGTTACCTATTTTGATGACATCAGTTTATGTTTTCCCTACCCCACGTTCCTACCTGTGGAGGTATGGTAGCTCCACCAAGTGATGCCACACCCAACAGAATGATCGGCATCCAACAGCAAAAGTCCGTGGCAACTATAACGGTCATTCTTCTGGCCATGGTGGCATCGGCCCGTGAATCCCTGGAGCGGACAGCTGTCTGGGTTTTCTTAGCCACTCCAAACATCCAGGTATAAGCCAGAGCTATGACAGCGAAGGAGACAAAGTTGAGAGCCAAGAAGACAGACACCGAATATTCCCAGCCATGTGACCTTTCTGGGGTGATGTGTAGTGCCAAGCACACTCCTGACCGTCCATAGAAGTTGGAGAAGTAGTTAATTTGTAGTAAAGGGACTCCGGCCAGAAGAACAACCACAACCCATACGGCACCCATGATCAAGGACGTCTGCTTCATGCTTAACCTCTTCAGGCGGAATGGAAAGATGATACACACGAAACGATCCAGGGTTATGATAGTCAGTGTCAAAACAGAAAGTTCACTGGACAGAGTGGACAGGAAACCAGCAAACTGGCAGAGTGGACTGTGTTTCCAGTAGCTGGCGTAGATGAAGTAAACACCACGATAGTAAGCGTCCACAGTAGCAATGACAAGTAAGTAAACTCCCATCAGCATATCCCCAATCGCCAAGTTAGTGATGAGGAAGGAGTGAACCTGCAAAATGTTTTAACATAAATTCTTGTTAATACTTTGATGCAAAAAGTAGTTGATTCGATATTATATTTCCTTTGTGACTTCTCCATCAGTAAATCGTCTATAAGGGTTAAAATCCACTAAATATAGTTTTTAGCCGCGGCATAGCGGCTCATAGAATGGCTCTGAGTATTTTCTTTTTCAAGTAAAAACTTTTAGCTCATAGCTCCATCTTTTGATCAACTCGAGATCTAATTACAGGCACGGTTGTTGATGATTCCCTCTTGTTTCTCCATTAGTAAATCGTCTATAAAAGTTAGTAGAAACAAGAGGGGAATCCCCAACAGCCGCAGCTGTAATCATATTTCAAATAAATCGATCACGAGATGGAGCTGTGAACTAAAAGTTTGTACTTGGAAAAAACAAACAAACTTGGAGCCATTCTATGAGCCGCGGCTGAAAACTATATTTGGTGGGTTTTAACCTTAGTACTCAATTACAAGTAATCATTCATAATATTTTATTTTATCCGCTTTTCAATCTCGAAATACACCATGAAAACAATTAAATACTTATAAGTAACTGAGTGTGGTAAAGTAAGCTCATTGTCAATGGCTAGTGATATTGTGATATCTTCATTTATATAAATAATGTGATCTGAAGATGTGTCGCTAAGCCTTATCACACGAGTGAGGAATATTAGCGAGAACTGATCTCTGTCAAACAATATTTACAACAATTAAATTAATCGAATCACCAAACAATAAGAAGGTTTACCTTATTGTTAAGCCTGTATATGGATCTCCATACAATAACGACAATATTTCCAGCTAAAGCTAACACTCCGAGGAACCAGATGCAAATTCTCAACACGATGTTTGACATTAGATCTTCACAAGATGAAAATTCGTCAGCTTTTGGGTAACAGTCGTCGACATGAGAGGCCAGACAGCAAAAGCGAAACTCGTCAGTTCGTCTGAAAAGATGACGTCATGTTAGCTTCAAACAGAAAATGTGCAACAATTGTATTTTTCTGTTTGTTTGTTTTTAATTATGCACAAAGCTACACAAGGGCTATCTGTGCTCTGCCCACCACGGGTATCGAAACCCGGATTCTAGCGTTGTAAGTCCGCAGACATACCGCTGTGCCACTGGGGGGCGTATTTTTCTGTTTTTAATGAATAACTACTCAACAACTACTGTTGGTAACCACAACTGTTGGTTTTACTAGCATCAGGTGAGTTTGTTTGTTTTCAGATAATCACACGTAGCTACAGAAGGGCTAGCCGGACCAAATTTTGAACTGATAGACTAGAAGGAAGGCAGCTAGCCAACAGTATCTACCACCAACTCTTTGGCTACTATAATCAAATAATAGTAATATTTGGCCGTCAATCTTATAACGCGATTTGTGGTAATGAGACGCGAACCATGGACCCTCGGATAACTATTCAGTCATTACCAATCCAACCTGGTGTTTGACCCAAATAAAACAAACATTTTGTCTGCTGGTTCATCACCAGAGTTGTGGTGCCATCTTATTGTAATATAATTATTCAAATATACATGGCTTTCCTCTTGTATTTTCTTAGTTTTCATGACGACTTCTAAAGATTCCACAGCCGTAACGTCACTCCAATAAATCCAAGATGCTTCCAGTACCTCTATTTCTTTGGCAGTTTAAGTCCTGAACGTCGTGTCTAGGTTCCGGTTACAGGTTTTAGAATGCCTCGTTCTTAATATTTACTGAACATATTTCTGTGGTACTGTCTAGAGTTTATTATAGACCAGTGGTTCCCAAACTTTTTTAATCTGAGGCTTCCTTGATGTGAATAGGCCTCCCTCCAACCTACAACTTTAGCATGGTGATTGAAAAACAGTGCCGTAGTAAAAAACAATAACATCTCCTTTCAACATATTGTATCATTTAATTAATTCAACATAATTTTTTTATCGGCTTATTGTTTTCGGCCCATTTTTGGCGGCCCACCAGGGGGCCGCGGCTCCCACTTTGTGAAAAACTGTTATAGACGTACATTTTGTTTCATTGGCATTAAAGTGTAGTAAGGAGACAGTTTCCACTCAGCCGTTTGCTGCCCACGAAGCTATAATTAATGACAGTTATGACAATACATAATCGTTACAATTTAAATAGCGCCATCTATTGAATATTTCAAGCATGGAAAATAAAGACAAAAATTCCCGCTGATTGATCAGGAAGTCAATTAAATCGTTAACAGCTAGTTTGTTTGTTTGTTTTGAATTTCGCGCAAAGCTACACGAGGGCTATCTGCGTTAGCCGTCCCTAATTTAGCAGTGTAAGACTAGAGGGAAGGCAGCTAGTCATCACCACCCACCGCCAACTCTTGGCCTACTCTTTTACCAACGAATAGTGGGATTGACCGCACATTATAACGTCCCCACGGCTGAAAGGGCGAGCATGTTTGGTGAGACAGGGATTCGAACCCGCGACCTGCAGATTGCGAGTCGAGCTCCCTAACCACCTGGCCATGCCGGGCCGTTAACAGTTAAATGGATTGTTAAGCTAACTTAAAGTTAAGTTTGGTATAATTAGCTCATGTTTTCATAGCTCTATGGATCTTGAAACTAATCCAGGTTAAGTTAATACAGCTACGTAGATCATTAAGCTTGGTCAGATGTTTTAGTCAATAAGGTCCGGACTACGTTTCTTACAGACAAATGAACAGTTTCCAACACTTTGTTGTAGTACTACAATACTGAACCGGATATCCACCGAATATATAACACTTTGTTGTAGTACTATAATCTTGAACCGGAGATCCACCGAATATATAACACTTTGTTGTAGTACTATAATCTTGAACCGGAGATCCACCGAATATATAACACTTTGTAGTACTATAATCTTGAACCGGAGATCCACCGAATATATAACACTTTGTAGTACTATAATCTTGAACCGGAGATCCACCGAATATATAACACTTTGTTGTAGTACTATAATCTTGAACCGGATATCCACCGAATATATATAAAACTTCATATTTCCAGAGAGAACTTCGATAGCGCCGTCAGTATTTTTCGTACCTGTGTTCTAATATGGCTTACAGCGAGATATTTTAGGATGATGTGTTGGGATCATGTGATCAGAATACAAGCTTTGAAGTAAAAACATGCTAAAATAATTGGATATTTAAAATATTTATAGGTAAATGTGTAGTGAATATTTCACACAACGCAAAAGTTGAGGAAAGCAAAGAGTCGTTTCTTTAAAAACAGAACCGCTTAGCAACAGTTGTCATAGAACCTAATACAGAAGTTACGATATGAGCCCCAGGCAACAGTCACCCATCCAGCAGTTGGAGACATTTCGCGAAAAATTACTCGAGGGCTATCTGCGCTAGCCGTTCCTATTTTGGCAGTGTAAGACTAGAGGGAAAGCAGCTAGTCATCACCACCCACCGCCAACTCTAGGGCTACTCTTTTACCAACGAATAATGGAATTAACCATAACATTATAGCGCCCTCACGCTTGGAAGAGGCAAGCATGTTCGGTGGTTGGATTCGACCCCGCGACCCACAGATTGCGAGTCGAGTGCCCTAACCACCAGGCCACGCCAGATCAGCACGAATTTGAACTGAATCCAAATGATGCATCCAGATGTTGAATATTGAACCTATATATTTGGTAAATATCTGGTTCAAGATTATAGTAGTACCTAGTCAATATTTGGCAACTGCTTTATCTTCACGTTTCGCAAATGAAGTGACGAATCTGTAACAGCTAGAACTAGAACGTTGCGATCAAATTATTAAACAGTGTGTTAATGAAAAGTGTTAATTTGAACTAGACAATGGTGAGACATAGATGACGCTACAAGTTATCAAAAAACCAAACAAATTCGGCGAAAAGAATTTGTTAAATAACAACGTTTTTATTACACATTTTTCATGCTGTTATTATTTCACGTATTAATATAGAATTCATAGTGCTGTAAAACAGAACTTTAGCATACATTAATTACTTGAGATTACTCAGTCGTGCTTTAGAACCAAGATCCTATGTTGCTTTATTGACGGAGCTTATATGCAGAGCTTTAAAGCAGGATACTAGGCCATAGCTATCAAAAGAAAGTTCCCAAGCTTATTCTAGGTTAGATGAACACGTCTTACTTACAGGTTTTTTAGTGCAATCAATCCAACAAACACCCGGCTCTCCATTGTTACTATATTGTTGTGAGTCAAATCCCTGAAACAAGAAACCAGTAAAGTTACTGTCTATAAATACTCTTATAATCAACTATGTTCTCATCATAAAAAAAACAACAAAAACAGAATAACTGGACATTTACTGGGTTCTATACTTCTTCAGTTATTCTATATTAACCAATGTAACTTTCTACTGGTTATTTCAGCCCAACGGGCAGGGATATTGTTTTGTAGATCAAAGGCCAAGGTCACAATGAATGTGAACCGCTTTCGTTAGGATGTTAGCTAATTCGGATTCTGAAAAACGGCCAAAATTCGAGAACAAATTGAGATCGAAAGAGGGTCATGGCGAAGAAATGTTTAGTGTATTTTTGTAGGTTGGTTTACCGTAAACACAAAAACAAAACATTGCGGGATGGGGTTGTACTGTCTAAGTACGTTATAGTTTGTATAATAAGTGTTTGTTTTGATAGCTGCAAGCACAACTATCTAAATTCTCTCTAGAAGGAGAGAAAGAGAGAGAGAGAGAGACATAGAGTAAATAGTACTTTTGCACATACAAATATATATTTTTCAATGATGTATATACATCTGTTATTTAACACCTTTTTTTTTGTAAGAAAACAGAACGTTTTCTACGAGAATGGCAGTTATTTCTCCATTAAACAAATTGGGATTACTAATACTTCTTACTCTAAATCACAAATACAAAACCTCGTGATCCCAGCGCTTTTAAAAGGAGGACCATGATGCTCTCGATAAAGAAAGGTCTAATCTTCGAAAGCTATCGGGTTAAAGGGTTATGATTTTCTGTCTTTAATTAATTATTTTAACACAAGTGTTTTTTGTTTTTTTGACAGCATAATTTCTTGTTCTGAATGATATCTTGGATGAGAACAGTAATTGATGAAATAGAACAATATATATACATATATACACGTTGAAGTGATCTGCAAACCGAAGAACATAAAAGTAAGTTGGTATTAAACAGAATCTATTTTATAGAACAAAATCATTTAAACTATTAGAACACATTGTTCCGTTTTATAGCTCTGGTGTGTTTGAGTTTTAACGAGATGCGATAAACAAGTTTCTACGAGTATACAAAAGTGTATCGTTTTTTAAAAATCAAATCCCTAAATTATCGAGGGCATGTGAGTTTGTTTTTTAATTTCGCGCAAAGCTACACGAGGGCTATCTACGCTAGCCGTCCCTAATTTAGCAGTGTAAGACTAGAGGGAAGGCAGTTAGTCATCACCACCCACCGCCAACTCTTGTGCTACTCTTTTACCAACGAATAGTGGGATTGACCGTCACATTATAACGCCACCACGGCTGAAAGGGCGAGCATGTTTGGTGTGACGGGGATTCGAACCCGTGACCCTCAGATTGCGAGTCGAGCGCCCTAACCACCTGGCCATGCCGGGCCTGGGCATGCGAGAGTGCATCTCTTTCAAAAATCAAGCTCCTACACTTCTACGGGCATGTGACAGTGATTTTTTTTTTAAATCACACCCTTATACTTTTGTGTACACGAGAGAATGCCTTTGTTTTAAAACTCAAGCCTCAGATTTCACCAGATTACCGACCGTCTCTCGCTAACATTAATTATCTCTAAGCCTACCTTATAGCCATGAAAACTCTCCTGCATATTGCGATACACGTTGTGTTACCTGTCGAAAATATGAGCAATGGTTGTTTGTTTATAGAAACGTTGCTACAATATTGTAGTAGCGTCTTCATTCTTGCTACGTAAAGAAATATAGTTGGAGCAGCGTGTAGTGTGAGTCTCACTGGAACGGAAGAAAGACGGTGTCAACGAGAAACGTTATGATTAAGTACCCAAAGGCTTATTGGAATTATTAAAGAAAGGCTTAAGAGATTTCTCAAATAGAATAGAGGGAAGAAGGTGATTACAGATAGAATGGTTGAAGGACATATAGAACGATCTTAATACAACTGAAATCGACTTACAATGACAATAACTGGTCCAATCCGTTAAATGTTCCATCAATTATTTTCACCAGGTAGTTGTGTGACAAGTCACTATCAGGAAAATAACCAAATTATTGTTGGAAAATATCCAAGTTATTGACAAGTCACTATCAGGAGTATAACTAAGTTACTGACAATTTAATATCAAAACATAACCAAATTATTGACAAGTTATCATCGGAAAATAACCACGTTATTGACAAGTTATTATCGGGATGTAAACAATTTATAGTCGGAATATAAACAAGTTACTGACAATTTAATATCAAAACATAACCACGTTATTGACAAGTTATCATCGGAATATAACCATGTTACTGACAAGTTATCGTCGGAATATAATCACGTTATTGACAAGTTATTATCGGGATGTAAACAATTTATAGTCGGAATATAACCAAGTTACTGACAATTTAATATCAAATCATAACGAAGTTATTGACAATTTAATATCAAAACATAACCACGTTATTGACAAGTTATCATCGGAATATAACCACGTTATTGACAAGTTATTATCGGAATATAAACAATTTACTGACAATTTAATATCAAATCATAACCAAGTTACCGACAATTTAATATCAAAACATAACCAGTTATTGAAAAGTTATCACCGGAATATAACCACGTTATTGACAAGTTATTATCGGAATAAAAACAATTTACTGACAATTTAATATCAAATCATAACCAAGTTTCCAACAACATAATATCAAAAAATAACTAGTTATTGACAAGTTATCACCGGAATATAACCAAGTGATTGACAAGTTATTATTGGAATATAAACAAGTTACTAAAAAATCATTTATCAGGAAAATAACCAAGTAAATCATGATGAATCACTATCAAAGAAATAATTCATCTTTGCGATAATTCACTATACTGGTAAAATATCCAAGTCATTGAAACGTCACTAGCAGCTATAACAGGCACGTCATTTGTGTATAATCTACTGTGTTTTTAATTAATTGCAGGCCTTCGGAAATGTAAATAAACACCATAAAATAACGTGTGGTATCGACACAATCATTTTTCATAAGCTTTTTTTTGTTTTTTCACTCTTTTTTCCTTAAGCCTTAATTCCGGTTTCACAAACCATTCAAATATTCAGCTGAAGCTGTTATTTCGTGCACATACATAGAATCTGTTTTAAGTTCGTTTTGCAGCACTTGAGACATGATCGTAGAGAAAAATAATTTTAAACCGGAGGTCCATAAAGAGATTCGGTAATACAGTACTTTATATATGTATATGTGTGTGTCATATATAGTCTTGTCTCTGGCTTTATGAAGCCAATTGGGCTAAAAACTGAGGTCTATGAATTGGCTTTAAAAAGTTCTACAAAAATTTAGTCTAGCCTCTTAGGTCATGAACTGGGAAGGTAAAAGGTTGAGAACCTATGGTGTACTTCCATCCAAAGCTACTTTAGGCTAAAATGAATATTAAACAAGAAGGGAAGAAGGTTTGTTTTTGTTGTTTGGTTTGTTTGTTTGTTTTTAATTATGCACAAAGCTATACA